AGAAGGCCCCGGGAGAAACAAAGATAGGGGACGGGCATGAACAATGGTAAATGCAATGGGGCAAAGAGGCTGCTGGAACTATAGTCGAACAAGACAATTCAGGTTTTGAAAAGAGGTTTCATGTAAAGAAACCTTATGTGCCATCTCTGCCAGCCCGCCTCTCCCTCCTCCCACCCCCTTCCGACCCGACCGCCTGCCTCACGCCGCGCCGTGCCGCCAGGCGCCGACCTCGCGACCGAGTCGTGGCTGCCCGCGCTCGCGCAGAGCGGCCAGGTCGGCCCGCTCCTCGCGTCCGTCGAAGACCACGACGCGCTGCGGCTCGGCGAGGCAGAGGAGCTGCTCACCGTCCGCGAGATGGAGGACGCCGCCAACGAGCTGCTCGAGGCGAGCCTCGACCAGCCGCGCGACCTCTACTTCTCGGACCTTTCCTAGACCTTTCCTGGAAGCTTCCTGCAGGCGAGCCTCGACCAGCCGCGCGACCTCACCTTTTGCGACAAGTGCAACGCGCAGCTGCACAAGCTCTCGTACAAGCAGTTTGGCTACCGCTGCGGCCAGTGCGGCCACGACGGCCTCGTGCCGCCGGCGCCGCCCGTGGTGACGCGCAACGACCCGACCACCAAACTGGCCGTCGAGCCGCGTTCGATCACCTGGAAGCTGCACGGCGAGTCGGGCGACAAGAGCGCGATCAATACCACCGTGCTCGCCACGGGCGGCGCCTACCACGTGCAGTGGCGCGTCGCGCCCGTCGACGAGGAGGGCAATGCGCTGCAGCTCGGCGAGAACGAGGGGTGGACCGACGCCAAGAAGCCCATCAGCGGCGGGCGGCTGATCGCCAAGAAGCAGATCGACCACACGGTCGCCTACCAGGCCCGCGTGCGCGCGCGCATGAGCGCCTGCTCGTGCTCGCTCTCGAGCACCCCGCTCGCGTTCGTCACCGAGTGCCGGTGCCCTTGGACGCCGTGGTCGCCTCCGTCCGTCAAGGCGACGCCAACCGCGCCCGACGAGGAGCCGGCGGCGTGATTGCGGCGGGCCCTCTTCTTCCTCTCCGCTTTTCTCCGTCGGCACACATCCTTGAAGCTGCACACGGCGCGAGACGTCGTGACCTCTGGCGGCGCGCCTCTGCGGGGGGCGTACACGGGCGTCCTTTTTCAGCTGCCCTCGCTGCGCCGCGACGCGCCATCGAGGCGCGCCACAGTACGCATTTGTTTCGTACGTTGATACATGCGCGACCGCGCGAGAGCGGCCGCTCCAACCGCGCAAAAAACGACCACGCCGCACGCGCCTCGCCTACTCTCGCGCCTGTGGCTGTGCTACCTAGAGAGGCTCTGGACGCGTACGCTACGGGAGGGTGAGGACTGAGTTCAGAGTTGACCCAAGCAAGGGGTTGTGCGCCGGGGCGGGCCCTCCTGCTCGGCTCCAGCCAGTAGACCAGTGTTGTCATCAACAGAGTAGACGGATCTGACCTCGGGGCCGATGTGACCAAGCGCTGGTAGCGTGGTTTTACCTGACACCCATGGTCTCACAGTGTGCCGGCGACTAGCAAGGTCAGGTAGGTCCAGCCGACCAGCCCTGGGTGAGCCGGGTTGTGACATTTGGCGATTCCGCGGCTTACTGGGTCCCTGAGCCGCTCCCCGTGTCTTGTGGCCCAGGCATGGTACTCTGATAGTAAACGGGTCAGAACCGGCCAAACACAGGCTACAGCCCCACACACGCGCCCGCCATAGCTCCTGGAGAGCATGCGCGAGTGACGCGCTACAAGCCGCGAGAGTGGCATCAGAGGCAGGAACGACGTGCTCTTGCTGCACCTCGCAGCTGCACCAAGTGTGCTCGCAGTGTATGCCTGTGCGTAGCCGCGGGCAGGTGGCAGTGCACAGCCGCACACCGGCTGTGGCGGCTCGAATGCCCCCGGCAGCAATGCTGGTCATTAACTTGCGTATTGGGGCCGCAGCAGACTGCTGCTGTGGCAACAGCAGCAGCCTGCTGCTGCCTGATTCAGTCAAGCCAGCGGTGCAGCGAGGCGTGCAGAATTCGCGCGGTTTGGTACATCCTGAGGCTAAGCGCGTTCAGAACCGGTGACCGGAGTTGGATGGTACCACGCGTCTCACTGAGCGTGAGGTGGCGAGCGGAGAGATGTACCGCAAGACGAGAAAAACACGGATCTGACGCGATGTCATCGGGCATCTGCCTCTGCCCCCTCGCCGCATCGACGAGCGCGCTCGTGTCAGCTCGCCGCTGCTCCTAGTGCCGCTGCTTGGCCGCCGCGCTCGCACTCGCTCCGCTCAATGACATCGTGAGGCTGCAACGGTCTGCGAGCTCAGCCCGTCGCTGAAGGCCACAAACGGACACTCTACCGACCTTTACATCCCTAGACATTTAACCCCGACTAGCATACGGTGTCGGCCCGACCGCCCTGCGGCCCCAGCTACCAGCTGGCGCCGCTCGGCCCGGCTCGAGGCGCCTGGGGCGCCTAAAATCGCGGAGCCGGCGACGTCCTCTGGCCAGCAGCCGGATCGGGCGTCCGACCCGCCCGCCCCTCGGCGACCCGAGATGGTCCTCCCCGACCCCCGAGGCTTGGCGCACCGCGGGAGGGGGGCAGCGACCTTGCACTCAACACTGAGGCCGGCAATGAGACTGAGACCACAAATGTGTGAAGGGGAAGGGAGGCGTTCATGTGCCGAAGATTGCCGACCCGGCTGTTAGCCAGAGTCAGGCCCACACCGATACCTCGTCCGTCGTCTGCTCCCCCTCGGCTTCACCCTCTACAATAGGAAAGCACGCCGTCCGTGCTCCACGTCAAAACTGCGTCAAAACTGGCGTCATTCTCCGGCTACCCGCGCGAGATGTGATCGGCGCCAGGGCCAGGAGGTTTGCGCGTTCGCGTTTGCCTTGGCGGCGTGCGGCCGAGTAGTCTGGACAAGCCCGCCAAGTCGACGTGCATCCCATCGCGGCTCCTTATCCCGTGGTGAATGGACGGGTCGCGCGCGTCAAGGAGCACCTCGTGTCTCACGTCACTGTCGCGCAGACTGGAGTGAAAACTGGTGCCGTCCTCATTCTCCGCATTGAATCGGTTTGGAGTCACCTGTGAGCATACCGCCACATAATGGCTGGGTGTCTACGTACGATCGTGACTAGACAGCTATCAACGATGCCTCCACGAGGAGGCTTCCTCGCGGCGCAAAGAGTGCACTCGCCCACTGCTGTCCGTGAGGGGATACGAACAGGCTGGCGCCCGTCCACATCTTAAGCTGCTCACACGGGCTCTTGTCCGACTGGGCGTACAAGGACGGGGTCGGTGTCACGCAGGGTGGCGTGCGGGAGCGAGGGCGCGCGAGAGTGACAGGTATAGTACAGGGGGAGAGAAATGGGGGGCAGGGCAGAGGCATCAGGCAACGGGGGCGGGATACTCCATTCCTCGCCTCGCTGGTGGTGGTCCGATTCTCGAGGCGCCACCCGAGGGTGTTGAAGAACCGCGAGAGTGTGAGCTCGCTGGTCGGGTCCAGGTTTCCTCTCGCCGATCCGCCGCGCCTGATGAGAGCGGCCACGCGTGGCACGAGCGCAGCTTGCTCCGACACGTTGCACAAAACGTAGGCTGATCGGCGAAACGCCCGGTGAGCGGCCTGCGCAATCGCGCGGGCTTCTAAAGACCCACCATCCACACCTCCAAAGAAGGTGCGGCCGGGTTCGACGGTCAGCACATCCACGCAGCAGCGGTGGGGCCGCTCGAGCTGATGAAACAGGTCGATGTTGCCGCAAGTTCGCACCTCGCCCGACTCGTCGATGGCAGAGTGCGGGAGCGCCGCAGTAAGGAAGGTGCGGCTCCATCCGAGCAGGCGTAGGTTGCGAAGCACGATCCGCTCCGGTGCCCCTCCCATACGAAAGCTGCTGGCGAACGCATATGTGATCAGCTCCTCTTGGTGTCCAATGTGTTGCTGATACCACGGTGCGAGCCTGCCGTTTTGGCGGCAGTCGTGGTACTCCGGGTGGCAGTCGCCAATCACCAGGCAGAGATTCGGCTGTACAGGCAGGTGTGTGTGGTGCCTCCTCTCAGAAGAGGTGCTGTGAGTGAGTTGGGGTAACGGTGTTCGTGTTTGATTGCTAGGCGTTGGCATGTGAGTGCGACTCCTGCTCGCACAGCGGTATCGCTTCAGCCAGGCTCGAGAGTGCCCTTCTGTGTTCGCGCACTCGGGGCGCGGCTGCAGCGCCGCGCCCGCCAGCAGCAGTTGCAAGTAGCAGATGCGACAGGCCACCATCGGTGTTTTTGGCTTCGCCACCGTGTTGGCGCGAGTCAGTGGCAACAGACCCGTGTGAGTGAGTGACACAGACACAGACACAGACACACACACACACACACACACACACACACACACACACACACACACACACACACACACACACACACACACACACACACACACACACACACACAACAGACCCCCTGTTCAGGTAGGAGGCGGAACCCAAAAAAGAAAGAAAAAACCGACAACCCAAGGGAGGGATGAGGACGGCACGCCGCCACCACACAGGGATTTTAAGGAGAGGGGTGTGATGCGCTAGCCGTCGCCCACCCTTGGGCGTCCGCCTCTTCCTATCTCTCTTCGCAGTCTCTCGCAGATTCTCGCTGCGACCTTCATGCCACCTCGCGGTCGCCCCCTTCTCGTCGTTCTTTCCCTTGTCTCTTCTTCTTCTGTCGCGTCGCTCTCCTCTGCTTCGTTCTGCGGAACCCAGAGGTGGCATCCATGGTTTCCTCTTCATTTTACCATTCAAGGCGCAAATGGCGCGCCGAATGTTGGTCCTACTGCCGGTGATAGCGGCGGCGGTGGCCACTCCCGAGGGCAGCCGCTCCCGCTCGCCCGCGACCCTGCCGGTGATAGCGGCGGCGGTGGCCACTCCCGAGGGCAGCCGCTCCCGCTCGCCCGCGACCAAGGCGGCGGTGGAGAGCACCCAGGCGGTGTACGACAGCGCTGCAAAAGACAAGGAGGCCACCGACACCGAGCTCGTCAGTGCGCTCTCGGATGCCATCGCTGCGGACCTCTCGGCTGCCAACTCGAAGGCGGCTGCGACCCTCTCGTCGGCGGCGGCTGACTGGACACCGGATGACCCATCTCCGTCGCCGCCGCCTTGGTACACGTCGTACCCCAAGGCTGATGCTGCCTTTGCCCCGCCCGCCGAGAAGGAGGAGGCTGTCGCGGGCGAGGGCGCCAAGGCGCGCGGCGGCTGGATGCCGTTCGCGCAGCAGGGCGCCGCCACGGGCGGTGGCTTTGCCGCGCAAGGCACCGACACCGCCTGGCGCTTCTTCACGGACCCGAACTTCGACTTCCAAAAGGAGGGGCAGGCGTACCAGGCGTCGGGCGCGGCCACGGGCAACGCGTTCGGCGGCCTCTCGCAGGGCATGATGCCAACCGCGCCGGCGGCGGCGGCGCCGGCGGCGGCGGCGCCGGCAGAGAAGGCGTCTCGCTCGGTGTCTTCCGCCACGAGCGCCGCTGCGGCGGCGAGCGCGGCAGACGCGGCTGACAGCAGTGCCGAGAGAGCGAACGCGGAGCTCGCGGAGGCGGCAAGCAACGCCGCAAACGCAAACTCGCTGGCGGTCACGACACGCCTGGCGGCCAACTTTGCGTGGGCGGCCGACGACGGCTCCATCGACGGCACCGCCGCCGCCTCCGCCAAGACATCCTCCGCCGCCGACAAGGCTGGCGAGCGGCCGGCAAAGTACCCCTACCAAACCCGGTCCCCAAATCCAAGGAGTAAAATAGGCCGGCGAGCGCGCCGCCGCCGCCAACGAGCGGCTGGCGGCGGCGATGGACAATGCGGCGAATGCGAACGGTGTGGCGACGCAGCGGCTCGCCTAATCAATCAATCAATCAATCAGTTCATTGATTCATTGATTAAGGTGTGATGGTGACGCAGCGGCTCGCCGCCAACACGGCGTTGAGCCGCTGACTGCCTTCACGCCTTACGACCCCTCCCCCCCTCTCCTTTCAGGTGGGCGGGGGGCTCTTGCCTTCGGCTGAGCCGGAGGCGGCGGAGCTGCGTGTCGACGTGACCGACGGCCGCCTTCTCCTAGATGCGGAGCACGGGCCACATCTCCCCACATCTCCCCAGATCTCCCCAGATCTCCCCAGATCTCCCCAGATCTCGAGGCCTAGATGAGGCTTCCAGATCGTCGTGCTCCAACTCGCACTCGAGAGGACACACCTCCCCATATCTCCCCATATCTCCCCATATCTCCCCCATATCTAGCACTCGAGAGGAGACATACGCTACGTCCCACGTCCTCCGCCGCACTGCACTGTCTTCACACCACTCGCAGCCCGCGTCTCCCCGCGGCGCTCCGAGCACTTGGCACGAGGAGAGCGTGCTCGCGCCCCGAGGGCCGGCGTGTCCTCGTTAGGCCGCGCCTACTCCAAGGCAGACTTTGTCTCCTTCTACGGCGGGACGGCCGAGTGGGAGAGAAGCCCCGTCTACCACCCCCCCGCGGGGCCGGGCGGCGCCGCCCCCTCCGAGCACCACAAGTCGGCAACCGAGGCAAAGGCGGAGGCGCTGCTCCACTCAAAGACGGGACAAAAGATGCAGGCGGCTGCCGCTGACTGGGGCCTGCCCGCCAGCTCCGAGGACGCGGCAGAGCTCGACAAGCAGGCCGCCTCCTTCCTCGGCTCGTTTGTGACCGCCGCGCCCGCCTCCGCCTCGCGGCCCCCGCGGCGCGGAGTGCCGGCGCTGGCTGTCGCCGGAGCCGCCGGCCTCGCGGCCGCCGCTCTCGCCGCGGCGTGGAAGGTGTCGGCGCGACGCCCAGCTGCGAGTCCGGCCGGCCCGTCGCTCGTCTGAGCGGCTCCCTCGACCCCCCGGGGCGGGCCTGGTTGTCAGGCCAGGCAGGTGTGCCAGGATGCCGGAGGGCGGATCGCATACGGAAGGCGTGCATGCCAAAACCCCAGCGCTCGTGCGTCAACCACATGCAACATGCACATGCACATGAGATGTGCATGTCTCGCCACTCTGGTCCTGTGCTGTTGTGTCGGGGAAATCCATGCTTGTGTAGAGTAGAAGTCGGGTGCGTGCCTCTCGCTCCACAGCGCTTACTTACGCGTTACGGCTCGTAAACTTGCGATGTGTCGTGCTTTAGCGAGCGAAGTGGGTGAGACTGATGATGCTCATTCGCCTTACATAGGGAGCGTTCAGCTGCACTGGGCGGGCTTCACAGGCATCAGGGTGGTGCTAACGGTACGGTGTAAGTCGGTAAGGTACGCGAAAGGAATCGACGCGATGTGCAACCGGCGCAGGGCGAGACGAGGGAGGGAGCAGCGAGGACTTTGCGGAGATCAGCAGGAGGATGTACGAAGAGAGAGATTAGGAGCAGCAGGGACCCGAGGGACCATGTGGAAGACGGCTAGTGCTAGTGCCTAGTCCGACACCCCCATCGGGAGGACGACCCCGGCTAGTCGCCGACCACTGAGACACCCACAAAGAACCCTCGCCTGCACAAAGATCGCACGGGTGGGGACCTGTTCCTTTTTACCCCTCTCACAGAGAGTGCGCTTCTTGGGGCACTTGGAGTGCGGTTGGTAACCGCACGCCCAGGGCCCCGGAGGGCCGGCGGGCCCGCGGGCCGGGGAGCTAAGAAGCGCACCCAGCGGGCCGGATGGTCGGGATTGCGGGCTAGAGAGCCCTAGCCCTGGGGGAGTGCGCGGCGGCAGGGCCATAACACGGGTCTTCGAGGGATACTCCGCGCTTTGGGTGTCCCCAGCGGCGGAGCGTCTTTATTATTTTATTCGTTATGCTCTGCAGCTGGCTTTCGGTGGAAGAGAGATGGCAGATGCCGTGCGCTCCCTCAAAGCTCAATCACGGGACGACAGACTTTGAGCTCTGGGAAGACACACCCGGCCAACGACCATGACACCGTAAAGCGTAATGCACACAACACTGTCAACAGCAGGGGCAGAGCTCAACTTAACTGTGAACGTTGAAGGCACATGGCACAATTAAGATGCGGTGGGCTCCGCACTGACTCTCATGACTTGCTACTTCACACTGTGCGTAGTCAGAATGTCTCTCTCGCGCAGATTACGCTAGGTCTCAGACTTCCTAAGTCATACGGACCCGAGACTAACGCAAACCAGGCAGAGAGCAAGCCCCCTGCAAATCGCAAGCCCACAGTGGCGCTCTAGCCGTTGCGGCCTCTCCGAGCTGCGCAGACACCTCAGCGTCCCCTCAGCGGCACCCTCACCACCATACTTGATGTGCCTCGCCCAATCTTTTGCTTCACCGCCCGCGCCTCCTCCTGCGGCCCGGCGCGCTTGAACGATGGCGACCGCGGAGTGTTCTCATCCGGGGGGGGTGTCATACACAACAAAACACGGGGCTTGCTACAACAACAAAGACGCCGTTCACTAGTGGGGTGTCATCGCGGTGGTTCGTTCAAAAGCGATCGCTGGCCCCCGCGACATCCGCCGCCTTTGAGATCACGATGGCGTACAAGGCGCCCGCCTCCGCCCCCACTCGAGTCCTCACTCTGCTCGCGGAGCGTCGGGCGGCGCGCGCAAGCGATCATCCCGCCGCTTCATCCCGCACCGCAGGAGGGAGAGTGGACCGTCGGCCCGTGGGACTGCTGCAGCGACCCGAGCGCGGGCTGCCTCGTGCGTGTGCTGCTGCGCGCCCTGCGCCGTCGGCCAGGTCAAGGAGATGGTCACGACGGGGAACGCGTCGCCCTCGTTCACCGGAGACATGACGACGTGCGCCTGTATGGTGGAAAGAGTCGTGATGTCTGATGAACGAAGCCCGAGTACGGGGGCCAGGCCGCAGGCGCGGCACAGTCTGACCCACAGCGCTTGGCCGCTTTTGCGGCTTGGCGACATTGGTCACGCCCATGTGCCATGAGCCATGTGTGCGCGGTAAATAAAGCTTGTTCAATGTTCAACAACGAACAACAACAAAATGTTGACATATGTGATAGTTGGCGTCCAGTCGATGGCGGAAGTTGAGATGACATATCTTGTTCTTGTAAAGCCGTATCTTGACAACCGTTGTACGGTAGTACCTAGTGGTAGTAGTGGAACGTAGCGGCAACGGGATGTTCCAGGAAAGCGCGGACATGATTCACGAGAAAATCGCCGCCATCCGAGCCGCGATCGAACTCCCTGTCTGTGCGTGCTCGCCTCTCACACTCGCCTCTCACACTCGCCTCTCACGCCCTTCCCCCCCCCCCCCCCCTCACGCAACCGCAGGCGGGGCGGCATGAGAAGCCGGCATGCCGCGGCTCAGCTTCAGGTGAGTTCATCTTGCCGGCGGTACCCGACGCTGCTCGAACGGCAGTTGTCGACCGCCGGCAGTTGACCGGCAAGAACCAAGATGAAGTCCACCGCACTCACAATCGGGATGTCCTGAACCGCCTCGCCGAGGCGCACAATAGTCCTCAGTCTGGCGAAGGCCAACTCTGTCATCCCGGGCCGCCGCTTACATCTCTCCCGCGACCGGTACCTCGCTTGGGAGGTACCGGGCAAATCGAGGTACTCGGCTTGAAATGAGCGGTACTGCATACCTTTACTTGTTTACAGGGTAGGGGGTAAGCGAGTCCGTGGGGGGGGGGGGGGGGGCTAAAGGGACGGCATGGACACAAAAGGCCGTGCGCGGTGCGAATCGCCGCGGAGCAGCCTGTGAAGCCCGAACCAACAATGCGCGAGATCGGCCATGCCATCGGCGATGCCATCAGCGATGCCATTGACGCCGCACTTCCTGTCCTCGCTCACATGAGAGCTTGGTCGGAAACCGTTTTTTCTCTGCTGGCCGCAGATCTATTCCAGTGTGATGTGCTGCTCTAGCTCCATACACTTGCCGTTGTCGCAGCTGTGGTATACGCAGGCCGCAACGTGTGGCGCGAATCCCGCGATCTCGCTCTCCTCTATCTGGCCTTCATGTTCCTGCTTCCCCGAATGACGTGTGAGTGTTAGAGTTGTTTGGTATTGCTAAAAATCTCCCTCTCAACAATAGATCGATGGTACGTGCCTCCCTGTGTTTCTGGCCTGGCGTTTGTGCCCCGTTTGTGCCGCGTGCCGTGCCCCCGAGTTCATATTAATCAATAGATCTATGTGTGTGGTGGCGCCACAGCTGGCTATGCGCGGGCCTGCCGCTCGCCGCCGCCCTCTTTGCCGTCGTCCGCTCGCAGCTCTTCTTGCTGTCTAACCCTCGTAAAATTCTTTTGAGGCTAAGATTCTGTATGCATATCTGTGCGACCGCCTTTGGTTGTAAAATTCTTTTGCAAGCGCGCCAGTCTCGCCCAGTGTATAAATAAATAAATGGAGCAGACATCTCGCCCAGTGTTGTGCGAGGGAGTTTGCTGTGTATCGCGCGCCTTGCGGGGGGGGCGCGGAAAAGAGGAACCTCTTAGCGCCATCGCCACGGTGCTGCATGCAGCGCCGGGCGACGACGGCTTACCGCCTCCCGGTCCCCCTCGGCACACCTCCGCTGCTCAATGTTTGACGGCTCGAACCCGTGAAGCTTCCCCGTGCGCGGGTTACCCCGCACACGGGTCTGCCTGCCAGCCACGTATCCACGCAAGCGTGGTCCGCGTGCATGGCATACAGGCGTCCGCCAGACAGCGCAGAGGCTAGGCGACCGGGGAAGGACTAGCTCAAGGGCAACACAGCGTCACCAGCCGTTGGCGCGCAGAACGAGTCTGCGGCCCTCGGTTGGGACGAGTGCGCGACGCGGTTGAACCGCTCAATATGGCCGGCAGCTCGCGAATTGCTTGAAAATTCTTTTGCAAGGCGTCTCTTCGCCGCACGAGGCATCCCAAAATCACATGCTGAGCTGACGCTCGCCCGCCGTAGCTGCGCCAACGCCTCTCGCACCTCGTCGCGGAGCTCGTCCTGTCACGTCGACGTAGGCGCTCCTCATCAGCCTCGACGTCGGCCGCTCTCGCTCCCCATCCTGAGCGTCGTCTCATGCTCTGCATGCTGCTTTTCATCGCGTCCGAGGCTCGACCGCCAGCAGGCATTGCGTCATCATTCAAGGAGCATGGCTATGTTGTCTTGCCTAATTTCTTTGTCAGCTCAGAGCTCACACTCATCCGAAAGCTCATACACTCCAGCCTGGATGTGCTCCCTTGGGAGCGCAGCATCCAACCAGGCAAAACGTGGGGCCTCACGGCTCCCGACCTCGTCGGCAGCCATGGCACATTTGCGCCACTGCTTCCGGCGGTCAGCCTATCACTTGGCAAGCCGCGGCTGCACGACGCGCTCCGCGCCGCACTCAGCGGGTCAAGCTACGTATTTGCCGACATGGGCGAGCTGCAGATCAATCGCACAAGCGGTTGGCACCGCGACATCCTGCATGGGGCCGATGCGTCCGCGTACACAAACTACGATTTGTGGGCGGAGCCAGGTTCGGGCGAAGCCTATAACATGGTGCGACTCATCGTCTACTTTGAGGACCACGATGGCGATGGCGGCGGACTGCATGTGTACCCAGGCTCGCACCAACAAAAGGGCTGCAAATCAAGGCGCTGCAGTGGTGCACAGCCGTTTATCGAGGTGCCGCAAGAGTTACTCAAGGTGGCCACACCGACGATACTGCGGCTGCACGAAGGCGATGCTGTGCTCTTTGATATGCGCCTAATTCACCGCGACCTCTTTGACCCCGCCACGGGAGGCGAATGCACGTCCTTACAGCTGACATTTGGGGCGCGCAACGTATTCACCGAGGAGTGGCGCGCCGGAGACAAGCTGAGGAGGGCGCGCGTCCTAGCGAAAGCAATTGAGAAAGGCGCTGCAACTACGCCACTTCTTCAGGCGAATGCGGCCGGGGGCGAGGAAAGAAATACAGGAACGTGCAAACTCGTGAGGCAGGCAAGCGTCGCGCCGTGCGAGCTCGGCCGCAGCTTCGGGTGTGACGCTGCGAACGGCAGCATGTGGGTCGCCAACTGTCGCGGAACGTTTCGCTGCGCAGGGATCAAGGTGCCCTGCGGGTATCCTCCCGGTCGTCCAGCGTACAACTGCTCGTGCGCTACACCTGCTCGTGCGCAGGGCCGACGGGCGATGCGGCAGGCGAATCAGCGAACGCATTTGCGTGGCCGTGTCGTCGCGATCTGCGGCCCCGCTAGTTACGTCTCTTCATCGAGCGACGCAATG